GCCTCCATTCCCTTCGTGTCCTGCGTATTCTGTCCTTTTGGTGGATGCCCTTTCGAGGCTGCCTCACGAATAGTTTTCGCACGCCAGCCTGAGCCATGGAAAGAACAGATCTTCCCCGCCTGGCACCCAGAGCATCGTTGTCGACATGCTGTTCATGAGAGCTTCCTCCTGCCAGCTGCAGATGTGGCTTTGCAGATTGATGGTGGCCCTCGCTCTGATGTGAAGCGCTTCCGGCCAACGGAGGGCTATACCCTGCCCAATTGGCCAACCTTTGTGCCAAAAGGCAATTGGTTGGACATCTGCTTCACTCCAGACTACCGAGGTGACAATGATACGGAGTGGTTCAAGGTGGGCGAGGTTGCAGTATTGGAGGCTTCGCTGGCAGCTTCATCTACTGTTCCCGGCATGAGCAGCACGACGCCCCCAAAGCAGGTTGGCCAAGTTGGGCAGATTTCCATGTCTAGGTCCTTGTTGCCATATCGCAATCCAGAGAATGTTGTAGGACTGACTGCTGGAGGAGGCATCCGCCTTGCTGCAATGATCATTACTGAGGATAGCTCAACCAGAGAAGCTTGTGAGAAGGGGCGCGCTGTAGATGTTGTCGGGCTTACTCGCGCGAACGCATCGGAGTATTCAGCCACGATAAGGGGAGACCGGACTGTTTTTGATGGTGGTGAAATTGGCAAGAGCATCTATTTCCCTGACGTTGCGACAGCAGTTGTTTGCTACTGTCCAGACATGGGTGGACTTGATCAATTTGGTGAGCAGGTGTGCCTTGGCAGCCCCTACTGGGTCCCTGTGGGTGCACTCGTGGTGGCAGGGCCTGTGGCAAACCAGTACTGGGTGTTGCCAACCATGAAAATCTTTCGCTTTGAGTACCTGGGCGTGAACTTGCTGGACGGCGACATGCTGCGCCTCATTCTTGAGGAATCCAGCTGTGCAGCCTTTGCTCCTGCAGAGCGAATGTGCCTAAGGCCCAATGAAGATCCCATAAATGGCCATGCGCTGTGCACAAGCAATTTCCTCACGGAAAATACTGGTTATATGCGCACAGCGACGCTGGCCTCAGATCGTGTGCGCTGCAATGAGTTGAACGAGAATTGCGAGACAGTTCCTTTGACTAATTTGCAGACCACAGCGACAGGCCTGCAACTCACATTTGCCGATACCACCTATTCGGGTGGAGGCCTGGGCAATCTTGGTCTGAAGAACGGTGACACCATTGTGCTTGGAGCTGGTGTTCAATGTGGCGAAGACTGCTCCCAGCCAATGCTTGACATGGCCAAGGGCTTTCTGGTTTTCCAGGGTTTGCAAAATTATTTGGCACTCAATGAGGACCAGGGCAGTACAGCCGCAGATGCTGTTGGCGAGAGACACGGGATGTTGCAAGGCCGTTGGATTGCCAAATCAACGTGCCTCTGCCCTCAGACCTCAATATGAAATGCCCTTCCCCCAATATGCTAGGGCATCGCGGGAATCTGGGGTGCACTTACAGACTGAGCTCAGCGGGCATGACCCCAAAGAATCCAAGGCCTCAATCAACCTACTGCAAGAAACCATCACAGGATCTCATGTGATGACCATGCAGGTGTGGCCGATGTGCATCGCATCACAGGAAAGTGGGGTGCATATGCACTTCGCTTTGGGAACGGCTCTGCTTTGAGCTTCTTGGTGAGAATGTCAGCAAGCTCAGTTGGGGAACTTAGCTGTGCTGACCACAAGGTCTGCCTGCCGGAAGCCCAGTTGAAGCAACAGAAGCTTGGAGCATCGTTTTCTGGGCGCAGATTGAGACGCTGGTATGCAATAGGTCTCCGCATCATGAAACAGATCCCTACTCTTGAGGAAAACTCTCAACCCCATGTGTCCCTGCTGTTTTCAGGAAGGATGGCTGGTACACCCTGTGCGGCATGGCAGATGCGAACGGTTTGTTTGAGGATGGAGAAGTCGAAATAGGCTGGCTCTCGGCTATCTGTGAGTCGTAGGGCTTGGCAAGCTTCTGTAGAGCTGCAGGTGTGGCCTCCACACCTTGGCCTGCACGCAGCCTCTACCTGCGGCAGGCGGCCGGGATCTCTGGTGAAGACCAGGTGCAAGGGGTTTACCTCCCGTTCCTCTGTCATGATGTTGCGGTATTGACTGTTTGAACTCCGTGCACTTGCAGGCCATGGGTGCTGCTGTTCTGCCATTGGCGCAGTGGGCGCACGTCGCAGTTGTGTATGCTGGCAGGACGATTTTAGGCAAAGAGCCCATGCAAGAGCAAATGTCCATTTCCAACTAACTCTTACCTAGATGCAAAGGACAATCACCATTCTCCGGCAATAAGGGCAAGTCTTGTACTTCTCCTGACGATGACCAAACAGTTCACATAGGGTTGCTGTGGTGGTCTTTTACGGTAGTTCAATGGGTTCCCTGATGCACAAAGTCGTGATGCAAGTGACATTGACCGCGCAGAGGATGAGTGGCGTTCTGCGGTTCTACATCGATGGTAATTTGGCATACGAGAGACTGGGTGTCATCATGAACATGTCAACACTGCCGCTTCAGTTCGCAGGGAGAGTTTCTGATGCATTTCCGGGTGGTGGCAATGCTTCCGATGGATATTTGGATCTTGACGAGCTGCGCTTCTACAATGTGCCTTTGAGTTCTGAAGACGTCATGGCCCTGGCTACTGCAGCAGACGGAGGGGTTGGAGATAGAGATCAAGCGCCTGGAGCTCCAATTGGCATTGCCATTGCCGAAACATCCAGCCCACAAGTCTTCACCGTGGAGCAGGGCAGCTTTGCTACTGCGCCAGTACCACCCAAGTTTCATATTGAAGGAGGTCAGTGGCGGCGAACCAACCGAGGACGGAGCTTCATTTTGCCTAGCCAGCGCTGAAATTTCGCATAACTCCAGTGATCTTCCATGCAAGTTAATTCTCATGCCATCCAGGCGTTACGCGCGGCGAATTGATGTCCAGCTCTGCACGGCGGTTGAGACTTGAAGCATTGGTTCTGCTGGTTCGTGTTCAAGTGTTGGCAGAAGGCCCAGACACGTCCTTCAGTCGTTTAGTTTGGTAGGTCGCTCTGTGGGGCGCAAACCATGCTTGCTGACTTCCGACAATACTTCCAGTGTCAAGGAAAGTTTGCTGGGAGCGCAACGGGCGAGCAGCTGATGCGGGCATTGTGGAGTTCGAATCGCAGAGCATCATGGCTGCTCAAAAACTGCCATGGTGCTGCTTGAGTGTGAAAGGATTTCCATACCCATTGCTGGATCCTACTTCTAGTGACTTTCCGGTTGCACTGCCAGCCCTCCAATATGAGAGCATAGAACAAGTAGCAGATGATCAGCCAATCTCTCAGATTGCTGCATGATGCCTCCAAGCCCACTTCATTGCTCCAGCACTTGAGATAGCGCAAGATGTTGTCATTGTTGTGGTTTGTTATCACATTGGGCATGCAGAGCATCGACTTCCATGTGGAAGGCAGCCTGACGGAACTTGGGATTTGGCCGACGCAGCGGGACTGGCCGGGATGGGCGGAGACATGTTCAAGTCCCTATTCAACCTCCAAATTCTCAACTGGATCTGATCCTGCATGCTAGGAGTGGTCGCAATCTTCTCCATTCATTCTGACCTTCCGAACGGGCCGTGCAGACGCGTCCGGAATGCGGTATGTGCAGGTCGGCTTCATTAGATTAGTGTGCTTGAAGCTTCTTAGATCAAAGTATCCGCCTTCAACTACATGCAGTCGACGTTTTGTCATGTGCTGTTAAGCCTGTGCTGCTAGCACCCATTCTTGAGTGGCAGGCTGAAGGGCACATGAGTTTGACGATAACCTTCTTGAACCAGGCCCAGCGAAGGTAATGCTGTGCAATGCTCACAGTGTAGGAGCCAAGCTTGCAAGTGAAGAAATCCGCAGTCAGGCTGCTCTCCGACACATGGGCAGCGGTGCTCAGGGCCCTTTTGTGAGCTCCTTCAACATCGGCAGCGATGAGTGGGAAGAGGCACTGCAGGGTGAACCGCAGGGTGCCAATTCGGCTCTGGAGATCTGTTCCTAGCCCAGCAACTTTCCAGGCAACGCAAACTGTTTGCGGCATCGTTTTTCGTGAGCTTTGGAGCAGTGACCAGGCCATGACACATCCTTGGTTTCGTGCCGCGTCTGAATGCCAACGCATGAGGCAAAAGGCTTTCCTTTGCCGAAGGGTTGTTTCTACCGCGGCTTGACGGTGGACATGCCCGGGCCTGGGAACTCGTGCATGATGAAAAGATCATATCGGAAGGACGTTATGTACCCAAAGCGAAATCCAAAGTCAAACATATATGTATAATAATGTATATAATGTCAATGTGTAAATGTATACGCGTGCATACACACAATTATTTAGATACCCCAAAATCTTTTTCCCCTCAGGCGAGAGATTGTGATCATCTTTGAGAAGCGGAATGGGCTTTCACCAGACTCGCGAGGGTCTTGGCGCAGCTTCGAGCCTTTGCAACAATCAAGTATTGAAAACATCGCAATTCCTTCCTCGAATGCCCCCACTGCCTGGCGTCAAACACAGGCCCAAGAAATTGACATACCATGAGGAACATCAACTGCGAGTGGGGGTTGTTTAATGCGATTACGCATGTTGAACAGATCCTCACAACAGACACAGCGTAGAATTGCTGGTTGTTTTATGGTTTTATGAGGTCTTACCAGATCGTCATGAATGCGCAAGCAACAAATGAGATGGTTGCGAACCAGGAGGTGCGGAATAGAAGATCTGCTGGATAGCTGTGACCTGAGTGCTATACAGATCTTTGAAGTGTGGCGCCTGCGCATCTTGGTTCAGAGCAGTGTAGTGTAACTAGGATAATGATGCCTGGGAGTCCGACTTCAGCAGGCACAAGCAAACCCACGCTACTGTATGCTGGCCAGCCATCACAGCCAACGTGTCACATCTTCAACTTGTATCACATTAGCTTCTAGACAGTGTAGCTTGACGTGCTGAGGAGTCTAGTGCTCTTGCATCTGAAAGCCATGGCGGAAGCTGGCAGTTCGCAAGAGCAAGAGTTCTCCGAGTTGCTGGGATTTCTGCAAGATCAGAAACCAGAAGTGCGGCGCTTTGCTGCGGAAGGTGTTCTTGGCCAGACAGAGGACACTGACTTTCTGGATTTCTGCCGTCGCAATCCACGCAGCGCTGCGCGGCCCCTCTTGCGTTTGGCAGAGAAGGCTGAAGCTGAGGCAGCAGAGGCCAATGAAAAGGCTAGCTCACAGGCTGATAAATCTGACAAGGCAGCCGCCATTCAAGCCGCAAGCAGCACGGCTGCCTGTGTCTCTGCTCTGAAGGCATTGGTGAATCTTTCCACTATTCCTTCCGTTCAGGAAGAGCTTGTCTCCTTGAATGCGCCTAAGCGTGTGACTGAAGCGCTGCGATCGGGCTGGCTGGAGGGTCGAGCAACGATGGCTCACTGGTATGCCATGCTACTGGCCAATGTTTCCACAAGTGCCAAAGGCCAGGAGGCAGTCTGTGGTGATGAAGGCATGCTGAAATTTTTGGTTGCAGCCTACGTCACGAAGCCACGTCCACCCCCGAGGGATGGCTATGAAGACCCACTGCTGTGGCTGGGGAGTTTGGTGGTAAACGCACTGGTCCTGCCAGAGGGTCGCAAGTTGTTTGCAATCGGCGAGAACAACGCGCTGACAACAATCTTCGGTGAGCTTGCAGATCGTGGCCGAAGACAGGACATGATCAACGCAGTGAAAAACATTTGCTTGGACTCGGATACCCAGATATTGTGGATGTTTCAGTTTCCGCGTTTTTGCTACTCAGCGTGTAGTTTTTCTTTCGATCAGAAAGCCCATCCGAAAAGTTGAGAATGCCAGGGCTGAACTCAGGAATGCCACGAGACCATCATGACGACAGATCTCATTGCCCAGATGGCAAGGCTCAGGGGATGGCACTGTCCCTTCAGGAAGTTCACTATGTCTTTTCAGTTGGATGAGAGTACAATGGTGGAGGGAAGCCTGGAAGTCAGTCTACTGAAGAGGGTTCGCTGAGATTGATGGCATTTAACAGGTTCCTATGCCCCTGGGAGAACATGAATGCGGAAGCGAAGTCCCTGCTTCCTGGAGCGATGAAGGATTCACTGGAGCAAGGCGGTGCTTCACTCACAGGCGACCAGCGCCATTCGGTGCGGTTTCAGTACTGACCGTTCATGTTTTTTCCAACGCTTGATTTCCTTTCTGAGCAGGTGATGTTGCTGTTCGTGCAGCCGCTGCTGTGAGTTTGATGGGGCTGTGTCGCTCGCTTGCTGGTCGAGACTATCTCCGTGCAAGTGGAATCGAGCAGGCAGACTCCATGCCTTGTCTCTATGATGGAATATGCTAGCATGACAATGCCAGAGATTTGGCGTATGGAAGCCTTGCCCCAAAGACTGTAGACCCGTCAAGCTCCTCATGTTGTGTGAACGTGTGATGAGCGCCTTCTTCAGACTAATGTGGACAGGTCTTGCGAGCCTGGCAGGCTGAGGAGACCGACGGCACCATCAAGGACATCCTGCTTTGATTGACTGAAGGGGCCTCTTGAAGCCAGTCAGGAGCAGCTCGACGTTGTGCTACCTGCGTTGGTGCTGTCTGAAGATGAGCTTAAGGCTGAACAGGATAAGCTGGCAATGCAGGAGAGTAAGCTGAGTTCCCCAGCTGAGGATCCTTGACCCCAGCCATCTTTCAGAGTAATCATGAGAGAGTTTTACAGGCGCCGAAGGTGCCAAGCAGAATCCAGATCATTCAGTCTTAAGTCTCTAGTTAGACCTGCAATTACGCCGGTCGAAGTCTTGAGCAGACTCACTGCTGATCCAGTCCTCTGCACTTAACATGTCGGGCACCTCGAGCCCAGGAGTCCCCTCTTGTACAGTGAATGGCGGAATCTGAAGCGAGGCACAGACCAGAACCTTCGATCATCTTTTAGCCTCGTGGTGCCCAGAAGGATCGGCCGCGGCAAAAAAACGCTTCTAGAAGCAAGAGCTACGCCTTCCAAATCAAGTACGCTTTTCAAAAAGTCCTATTGAGCCAGTTGTTCTTCATCAGCTCCAACGATGACGACGAGGGCTATAGGTACGCTCCGCTGGAGGCAAGGCACATCGGTGGAGTGAGGTCTCTCTAGGGGCTCTAAGCAATACTCGTCATCCCAGTTTTTTGGGACAGAAGCTGAGTTCATTTCAGCCATGCCTCCCTTCCCACCAGGCAATCTGTGCTGGATCCATGATATTGCATGTGTGCTGAAAAATCTCGACACGCGGAAGTGCTAAGAAAGCTGAAGGTGCGACACAAGTAGGTAGGAGCCTTGATGGCGTCTTGTGCCGTTCTCATGGGGCTGTGAATCAAATCACCTTGTCTGCAATAGGCTGGGGCGGCCATTCCGCGATGTAGCTTGCGACAAGTTGGGGCATATGTGTACCAAACATATGTGAACTGTATGTAACAACAGGCGGCGACAAAGTGGTATTGAAGCATGGAGATGCGATTTGGAACCTCTCCGAATTGGCTGGTAAGCCGCCCCAAATGCCACATCTGAAGAGGAAAGCCCCAAACGAAATGCGCCTTGCTTGCTCAGAACACGTGCAGGTTGGTCACATCTTCACGACGGAGGAAACTCTGTACCAGCTAGGCGCATCGTGCCCTGCCGCTTACATGGATGGCCTTGCCCATTTGGCATTCATGCGGAGGTGCTGGCAACAACGATCCCCAGTTTGCACCTGCTGGTGGCATTGAAACTTGGCAAATCGAGTGCAAGCTGGACCAGAGCCTAAGAAGAACATCAGCTGAGGAGATTCTGGGAGGTGATGCTGAGACGAACCTGGTCACGTCGCGCTCCCCAGATGTAGGCATGTGAAAGGTGATTGACCGGCATTAAGACGGCAAGCATCGCTATTCTGGCGCACAAGTCTTGAGAACATGAACACATGCTACCATGAATACCATGATGCCCAGGTTGCAGGATGGGTCAACCAGACTGCGGCTCCAGATGATGGGCGGCGAATATTCCACTGCAAAAATCTCTCGCTGCGGACCTACCGGCTGCCGCATGTGCTTCGCACCCCAACTCACATCCAGTGAGTGAGAGCATTGATGATTGACAACTGTAGCAAGGTGGCAATTATCTGAGCATGTGGCTGGAGCCATTGACGGTTGGAGACCCAGAGTCGGCCATGCATTCTGTAAGTTGCGAACGATGCGAAGTATGTTTGCATAGAAGAGTGCTCACAGAACAGGTACACCTGGAGCTTTTTTTGCTTGAGAAATCAAAAAGTCAAAAGCAGGCATGGCAGTTGCCGGAGACGTGTGGAGATCGAACGGACACAAGGCAGCCCGATGGTTAGAGGTGCTTCTTGTCATTCTTGTTAACCTGTAATCATTATTCTAAGTGCTCCTGCCTGTGGAGCGTTTCTGTGCTACCTGACTTTCGAGTTTGAAAAAGGCCGAGGTGACGTTGGGTACCTGTGCTGACTGCTTCACCGATCCCTGCCGACTGCTGCATCAAGTGCTTGAACATTGCAGGTTCGTAGTTGCTCCTCAACACTGTAAATGAGCTTCACGTCACTAATCCGTACTGCCAAAAGGCCAAAACCATATCAGCAAGTCAGCTTCCGCGTAATGTTGGCGTCTATGCCTGTGGCAAAGGAGACTCATGAGTGCTCTCCACGTACAGCTTTGAACCTGGGTTGTACAGCTTCCGCCCGTCTGAAGAACTCATCAATGACATGAGCAGTAAGCGCAGGTTGCTAGAGAGAGTGAAGCTGACTGCGCCTGCGTCGCAGTGTGGAGACTGGCAGCATCCGCATCCACTGCTTCGTTGTCATCCTGGCTGCCTTTGCAGCTCCATCAGCTTGGCTTAGGATTTCGGCGCTTTTAGAGGTCTCGCACATTCTCGCACGAACCGCTGCTATTGTGTGTGTGGAGCGAAGAGTATGCCGGTTCAGCGCCGCGGATTGCACAGTCAAAGCAAACAGCTGTAACCCCATGCTCTCGCCCCTGAGCTGGGCCTTGCTCTGCCAGATCATTGGCAATTTTCGCCGCTGCGGTGAAGTGGTCAACTGCGCAGGGATCAAGGCCTTTTCATAGCTCCGACTTGCTCTGAGCACGTAGAGTGCGAGGATATATGGGAGCCAGAAGGGCGGCCTTTACAGTGATGGCTAAGTGCTGTGTGGTCATGATGAGTAAAACATGGGGCAGGTGGTACCATTTGCAGCGCAGGCAGGTTCTCGACATTTCTTCTCAGTTTGTTCCTCCGTGATCTGGATTGTCGGCATAGTGGCATAGGAGTTCGCGCCCAATCTGACAGGTGCCAGTGATTAGAATCCAAATGCCGCCCAACATGAACGATCTCTTTGGTTCTTTGGTGCCGCGCTCGGTGCTCTGCAAGCGGCTGCGCTGCATCCACGGAAGTTGCTCAGATCTACGAGCTGGACGTTTACAGCCTGAAGCTGCCAGCCTCTGGCGTCCCTTCCTCACAGCGGAAAGAACAAGCGAACACTGGGCTGGTTTCCTATGCTCAGGCTCTTCCCCATCGCCTGATGGTGCAAATGACGAAGGAAGATGGCACCAAGCCACATTTCAGGCCTTAGTCTTTGTATTTGGCACCGCGATTCTGCCGCTGCTCCGCCCTACTGCGGTATGTAGCAGTATGCCCCGGTACCTGTGCAGCGCTGCAGGGTGGCAACTGGCCGCTTCTATAACGCGCCCCAGCCTCGGGGAGCACCCGATGCCACACGGTGCTAAGAGGGCCCGCTACAGTGCTTGCAGTGCTTGCTCAGACCTACCCGTGATTTTGCAACCATCGGGCGGGTGCTCAGCGCGCCAGAGGCGCGAAAGAGTTGCCAGGATGAGTGATTCACAGACCGCCTGTCCTTTCTTGTTCTCAGTTGGGGCAGCAAAGTCATAGCTCTCAAGTAGTGGCACTCGGGCTGCAAAAACAGATAACATGTCCGCGCTGCCATTGCCAGATGGGCCTCGAGCCGTTCGAAGGTGTGCCAAGCCACATCCTTTACGCCGGAGCCCTGAACAATTCAGGAGGTTGACAGAAGTCACAAGTCATGCTGGCGGTGCAAACTGTTGGTCCGACGCGGGTGCAGCTTAGTGCAAGGTCCTGCGTGCATGCCGTTCGCATCAGTTTGGTCATTAGAGGTTTGCCATGCAGGTCATGCTTCAGATGGCTGTGCCACTGCGTGGGCAGGACAGGACGCGGTGAACGCCTCAATGTGGTTACAGACATTTGCGCATCTTGGCGTGCTTGCAAGTTACACCAACCTGGGACAATCTAGGCTTGCACCCAATGCTCGTCCTGGCTCCTACTTTATCATCAAAGCCCCACCGGACAGCGCCTTGGAGAGGGCTGCGCATAATTGACATTGGTATGAGTCGTGGTCTCTGTTTTGACGTCCAAGAATTTAGCATTGGCAGGGCATCCCTTTGCGCTGCTGAGTATTGGGTTTGTAACAGCTGCCTGCAAAATGCCAGGGCTTCCGGATGTTGCAAGCCGTGGAGGTTAACCACACAGGCCCACTTGCAGTCACTTCCGTTCGAGTGGGTCGAGTGATGGAAGCTGTGCCCTCTCTTCCGATCCATACATGTCTGCTGCCTGTACAGAGTGTATGACATGTGCCGGGAACAAGCATCTTTGCAAATCGCTGGGAGTACCTAATGTGTCTAGAAAATTATGGGATCCCCAACTTCCGCCTCTCTTGTCCAGATATTCCTTTCTACTCATTTTCATGATGCGAGCTACGTGAGGTCAAACACCAAGTCGAAGAGGGGCCCAGAACAATTTCTTGTCTTCGTCATCTTTTGAGGGAGCGATCATGTCTGAATGGTAACAGCGCCTTATTGTGCTGCTTGTGCTTGCAGGTGGTGCCCTCGGCATGGTGACTCTCACGCCTGATGGGGATGCAGCATGTTCCTCAGTTGTGTTATGTTGTGTTCTAGTTCAGTCTTGTGCTGTTGGCGAAAGCTCACTGTATGAACAAGCCGTATGTTGTGGCGGAGTGGCACCTTGTCTGCAGCACGCTATAGATAGAACCCTCAAATTCTTGAAATATTTCTCGTATGGACCGAGGTCCATGAAATGGTCTGGCCATTTCACAGAAAACCATTTTATAGATACCTGGGCGGGGGCTAAGTAATGGCCCCAGAAGGTAGGCCTGTCTAAAGGACCCAGTTCATAGAGCCAGTTCTGGGTTGTTTGCTGGGTGATCTGATGGGGATGACGCCTTGCATTCCTATCACGTGTTGCCCCGTTGTCCGGAGTTCGTTCGGCGTAAGTGCACGGACGTTTTTGGGTCTTCGTAGAGCCCTTCAGCGGCTTCAGGAGTTGAAATGGGCAAGCCCTGACATGCTCTGCAAAGGCCCCAAAAGGTTGGTTCATTTGTGGAAGAGTCTTTCCAACTGTTGACCTTTGAAAGGACAGCCCCCCGAGCTTCAGGCGGTCTGACATACGACATATATATATATATGTGTATATATAAATATTTGTATCTAGTATTGCTATGCTATGCTCAGCCATGCTATGCTCGCGCTGTAAAGGCGTATAGAAGGTTTGCGACTTGAACACCCCGTCACTGGGGGTAACGCAAACTCTCAGGCAACACGCACTGCCTGTCTATGAAATGGTTGGTGCCACCTGTTGATTTTGCTCTCCTTGGATCTGAAAAATCAAGTCAAACACATCCAAGTCCTTGCCGTGCGGCAATTCGCGGAACAGCACTTGAGACTTGAGCATGTTTGAGCCTTCGCGCCCGGGCCTTCCGCTCAACAGAGCGGATCTCAGCACAGAAGCACGTGACCAGGGCTTGGGGTTGACCGCCAACAGAAAATTGCCAAGCCAGGGCCCTGCTCTTTCAAGCCTCCAGTGCACAAGATGAAAAGACCGACACTTCACTTCAGCTGTCCTATCATGCGCTGCCGCACTGGGGTCACGCAGGGAAAACACCCAGCCCCTCTACGAACTGGTTGTTGCAATCTACTGGAAAAACAGCTGAGCAGCGTTTCTTTTCTGCATGACAGAGCTATGATGGCCACAAAACTGCAAGAGTGCTCGCGTAGCCTCGGGCCTGCAGGGCGTAGTCTTGCGCAGTCTCCCGTAGTCACGTCTAGGTTATCTTGGCCGCGTAGTCTGCGCAGTTTGTATGTTTCATAAGACATATTGCCCAGAAGGTTGTGTAGGCCAGGCATGCCGCGTAGTCCGCGTGGTCAGTTGAATAGCAAGAGTATCCCCGCGTAGTCTCCTCCGCAGGGAAAACAACCGTTCCGGCAGTTCGTGTAGGCCCTCCATGTTAGTACTGCATAAGGCACTTTATAAGGCAAAAACAAAGCTCAGCTGTTTCCGAAGTCCCTGCTTTCTCTGTGAAATGAGTTTGCGCCTTTCGGCAAAGTCCTCGTAGCCGAAGTTTTTGACCCCAGCTTATAGAAGTCACTAACAAATGGTGAGGTTGGGGGTAACTGCCCCAAACCCACCATCTTACAGTGAACTCTCCATGGAATGGTGGGTTACACCCTCATGTAAGACAATTAAGGGCTTTGCATGGGTTCGCCGTTGTAAGACTGAGGTCCAGGTAACAAGAGGTTTTATGACTATCTGCAAATGCTTCCTTGAGCAAAGCACCTCTGCATGGCCTCGGCAGAAGCCTCCTTGGCCTCAGGCATCTCGCCTCAACAACACAATGCCACAGCCTTCCCCGACGGGCTTCGGCACGTGCAAGCCTTACACAAAATTGACAGTAGTACGATGCTAGATTTCTAGCCCCCAGACCCGGCGGCGTGTTGCAACTTCTGAGGCCCGACCTGCGAGGGTGGTCCATGCTGGGCGAGGAAGCCACGTACTCGCTTCTGGCCGGGGTGCCCGTACAAGAGCACTGCCACGGCAGCTCAACAACCTAGTAAAGGATTCAGATGACCATGAACCTGTAAGGACAGGTCCTTGATTCCGGCAATGTCATCGCTCGTTGTGGGTGCTGTTCTCAGATGTAGTCTGCAGTCTTGTGACCCAGTGGGTGTGCGGTCTCTGCGACAGAGAACCGTGCAAGACACTTGGTAGAGATAGATATTGCTTCTGGACTTCTTCACAGGAGAATGGGGCCCCGCCAGGTCGATTTTACAGCACCTGGGTTTGCTGCACAAGCCCTGAAAACCACGGTGCCGCTGCTATCTGAGAAGCCAAGGCATCACGCAATTCTAGCTACGAAACATGAGCATCGCTCAGGATTCTCTCCCAAACCAATTACAAACATGCTGGCTGCAGTGAAATCATGTGGCGTATTGCCCAGGCCTGCGGGTGTATCCCGGAAACACCAGTCTGCCCATCACGAACACTCTGAACCTGTGGTCTGTGCAGGCTGCTGTGTAAAGCAAGCCATAGATTGTGATCAGTCACCTTTGATTTTGTGATCTTGTGATCACTGCCTGTCAGTGGCTGTGACAAACTTGATAGGTATTCTCTCCTGGAGACCACAACCTGTCAATGGTAAACTTCAGCGTGGCGCGCCCAGTCGAGGATGTTCCTAAGACTACAAATGGCAACTTGAAGCCTCGTCCGATTAAGGCAAAGTTCTATCGTACAGGGCTGGGAGGAGTACCAGTGCTCGGAAGACTGGAAAATGCGGGAGCCTCAGCCAGAAAATAAGGCGTCAGCTCAACGATCAGCTTAGAACGTAGTGTGTTGCTGGGATCACTAGCAGGCCTTGATCCAGCCGGTGGTTCCGATGGTTTCTCCCAGCGCCAACCAGCCAACAATGCAGTCGCGACGCTGGCGCGTTTAGTTGTTAACAAGTGATGAGTCAGCACGACAAGCAGACTGACACTTGCTGATTTGTTTCAGGCTAAGTGTCTTCTTCCGAGCCGTGGAGGACGTCAATGCCGGTGGATCCATTGACGTGGAGGCCTTTATGGTTGATTCAAGGTCGGCTCTGTGAGGCCTGACTAGGTGCTCCCAGCCTCTCAGGTACGGCACGCATCTGCAAACAACTTAGAGCTGGCTCGAGATTCTCTCAGATTCATTAAACTTCCAGCACAGGTGCTGTCCGTAGCTGTTCCCGAGAGCCGTGCTTGTTCGTTGTGTGCATTTGTGCGCAGATGCAATGCATTCACGCCATTTTCCGGTCGCCCTTGCTCTTTCCAAAGAAGAGTGGCAAGCGACTGCAAGAGGGAAAGCGGCAAGTGGATAGAGTTTACAGCATCTCTGCTGACACGTGGCAATTTTGCCACATGACTGTTCATCCCGTAAAAGAAACAAGCAGCAGGCTGCTTGTGGGCTTGCTACTTCTGCTGTGGCTGGTCGTATACCCATCGGCCATGAAGCTGCGATGTGGACTTCTAGCCCTGTCGTACAGCTTCATGGAGTTCTGCTTTACATACTTCGAGCGTGGACGGGCATATACCAGTGCGGCACAGTTTGGAGCCAATCTTATTTACATGCCAGTGCTCGTAGATTTATATGGTTACTTCCTGAGCGATTCCCGGTTCTGGTACATCTTGCTATTTCCCCTGAACATTTGGATCTTGGAGCTTGTGCAGGGAAGCTTTATTTCATATATCTTCGGCCAGAATGTCGCATGGTGCTACGCGGACTATGCGGACGAGTTCTGCTTTGGCTTCGCTCGCATCGGCCATGCTATCTGGTGGTGGGGCTTAGGGCTGCTCCTCTACACGTCCTCTCCCATCCTCCATTCCCTGAGCCAAGGTGCTTTTTTATAGAGGCCGGAGGCCGGTTCCGCGTTTGGGGTCAATCCAGGCCGCAAGAAAAAACGCGTTCCTGTGCCAAAGCTTCTGTGCAACTTCGCTGCATTGCTTGTCCTGGGACAGAGTAGGCGATCGGGAGTTTGGCAAAGGTCTCTAGCTCCAGAGAACAGGAAGCACCCTGGCAGAAAACAGGTCAATTTCCGAGGAGTGTGTCAGAAGAGAGGAGTAGGAATGTACGGTAGAAGACTCAGACTCCCCAATTTCACGGCATTCAAAATCCTCGTGGCGATCAAAGCTCCTCCTAGAATGATCTGCGGAAATCTATGGCCTGGACCACAGTACTTGCACGGGGTTCATGAGAGGTGACCTGACTAACCATGTCACAGTTGCCTGTTTATGATCCTGCTGGTTCGGTATGGGACAGGCGGGTTTTTGTAGACTGCTCTCCTGAGATACTCAACTTAGTTGCAAGCATGCTGCATAATTTTCAGAGCGTGTCACCCAAAATGCGGCCATCAGCAGATTCTCTTCGTACCTACTTGCTACAGATGTTGTGCCTCACTTGAGCTAGGCGCCTCGCGTGTTCGACTTCGGCATAGCCTGTCAAGCTGTCGATCTGACGGATGGGTGACGGCCTCAAGTGTTCGAGGCTTCACTTTTGACAAAGACCAGTTCAAACTGGCTGGCAATCCCTCAGCTTTGTATCACTCCACATGGCTGTCAGGTACTATGTAACTGGTCCAGTCCCTTCGGTGCATCGCCTTCCTGAGATTGTTCGCCGAGAGCTTGGATGATGATGCTTTGCCTGTACGATGTACTACCTCTGGATCCACATATTATTCAACTGGAGCTGCTCCTGTGGAAAATGATGGGCTGAGCAGACAGCAGAGCCATCTGAGGTTGTGAAAGCCACCGCGGCAGCGGCCTTATAACAGGCCAAATCTGCTCTGATTGGGTTTGGTAGCTTGGGAGCAGCTGCTCGACACCCCGCAGGTCCGTACAACATCGCCCGAATCTACATGGAGGGCCCGTCCGGATCCTAGAGTGTTCCCATGGCGCGAAGGGAATTATTTGCAACTATTTGCATATGCTTGACGAGGTTGAAGGGAGCAAACATCTACGGCTTCTCGCTGACGGTGAGAAATCCAACGCTGGATGAAGTGTCGCAGGTCAGTGCAGTTGCCGCTGCTACATCTTGATGGGCTGCCATACCACTTTCGACAAGGGTAGGGCAAGACTTTGCCTGCAGGCGTTCGTAGCTTTTTGGGTGTTGGGCAGCCCAGAGCATGGTAGCACAAGCAGCTGCATGAGGAACAGTATGCAGTGTTCAATGGAAGGAGGCAGTCTCTAAGTAGCTCGGAGTGCCGGAATGCCAGATCCTCTCACTGACCGATCCATGGTCCGACATGGCACGCGCCTCAGGGCAATGCAAGTGACCATAAGTGACCCTAAGCTGCGCTGTCGGCTGTACTGAGCAGCATACCCATGAGACCATGCCAACGCGAGAGTGCACCCACATGTCTGCGATTACTTTGAGAGCAAGGATTGGAACATGACGACCCGGGGGCCGGTCCGCTGGGCAGGGTTTTCTTCGGTTTAGCACGGCGTCTGCGTACTTGTTCTGTCGCTCATCACCTCGTATAGGAAGGATCTCCGGTTTGTGCCACTTACGGCGGCGCGCCTGGTGCTGCAGATGGCAGCGGATCCTGGTCCGAGCCCATAGGCCACCATCAGAAATCGCAGTTGCGGGAAGTTACATGTGTCTAGGCGACTTGTCAACAAGTCGATTCCACCAAAGGCATCTGTCAGCCTGGGCCTAGCTCGACCACTGTTATGCTTGACTTGCCTCAAAAGGCAGCGCACTGCTTTTCTTGGTTAGGTGAAGCTTTGGCGACGCCAGGTCCAGCCATTGCGGTTCTTGACCCAGAGCATCGGTGTGAAAGCTTGCGATCTTTCAACCACCTGAGGTTTGAATCTAACGGAGGAGTTTCAACTTCCCGATGGCAAAACATTGGCCCAAGCATTGCCAAGAACATGGACTGCAGCGTTAGCTCAAAAAGCATGTGCCAGCATGGCATTACAACATTGAACCCGCTCTGTAATGGACGGCGAGGGCAGAAGGCATTTCATAGTCTGGACGTAGCCTGCAGGCAGAGACATTTGCAGCCATCAGCATCCCTTGGCATGACATGTGCTACTGAATAGGCAGGCCTTGGCAGGCGTGCCAAGATGATCTGACTGCCCCGCATGTTTGTGGATGCGGAGACAAAATGGGCGGAGGCCTGGACCCTGTTTGACTAGGAGGAAATTACTTGCCACATGTAAGTGGCTGCACGCATTCCTCTTGTTGCACGTAGTTTGCAGCTGTAGATGAAATGGGTGTCAGCTTAGACTTAGAGATGAGCTTCTTTGTTGTCTCAAGCTGATGAAGTTGCAGTCCAGCAGAATTCAGCATACCGTGCAATCGAGGCCAAGGTTGCCCATGCTGTGCGCCGGGCAATCCAAAAGGCCTCATATGAGAAAGCTGACGGTGGTAAGACACAGCTTTAGCCATTAGCATTCCCACGCCAGTGCGGGGAAACACGAGCAAACCTGAGCAATCGCAAGTGGTGCTGGCGCGTGTTCTTGCCTCACGTTGACAGCTCTTGTTCGTTGGCAGATCCGTGTCTGCACTCCTGAGAACCGAGTGACCTGGCGGCTGAGAGAGCAGTCTCGGTGGAGCTTTAAATAATCCTTGACAACCTAGGAAACGCTTGAAGCTGAGATGGTCCAGACCCTTTCTTCAAGGGAAGTTGAGCTGGGAAGCTTGCTGGACCAGGCGAGGGACACGACCAGGTCAGGCTATGACAAGGGTGCCAGTCAACCTATTACATGCCTTAGGGCTTCCTCTTCTGTTGAGAATTGACGAGCTAGTGAAGTGCAACTCAAAAACCCAAATGTCTTGCCTCAGGTTCGGTTAGAATGCGATCGTGCTCTGGAGATTGCAGACAAGCGTGTCACGTACGTGCAGCAGCAGCGGCAAGAGGAGGTCGCTGGCATTCAAGAGTCCAACGCACAAGGGATGCTAGATGGGCGGGCATCATGCGAAGTCCAACTTGTCTTGGGAGTCAGCATCATTCACCCTCCAAAGCTTGTCGTTGAATCAGAGCACTGTTGTCGCTGATGGGTATGCTCTGTTGCGCATTTCTCAGGAAGAGAAGATGCGCAAGCCAAAGGAGGCTTTGGAGGAGACGGCCAAACTGCCTGTCACGCAAGATGAGATTGCCGAAGCATGGATCACCCAAAACGCAGGCTAGCAAGTTCAAGCATTACATTGCTTTCTTAGTCAAGGAGCTTGAGCAGATGCTGGCAAGCTTCCGCCAGAGCTGCTTGGAGTTTGAGGAGTGCGTTTCGCTCACTCGCTGACTTATGCGCACTCGCTGACTTGTGAATCAGCACTCCAACTCGTTGATTGCGTGAAGGAACAAATCGCAGAAGAAGGGACAGTGTCTCCTGAACAGGCCCCAACTCTACTGTCGGAATCCTTGCTGCCTGCAGCAACCTTGCGATTGGTCGACTTAGGTGAGCGCTGCAGAGGGCCGTTTCGAGGAGTTCAACTCAAAGGCCAAGAAGTTCCGCGACGAACTCAAGGACAATGTGGCAACCTTGGAACCGTATTCCTATTGATGTTGCAAGCGACTTGATCGCAGTGAAATCTTTAATGCCATCTCGCCCTGTAGGAGTTTGTTGCGCAACACTCAAAAGAATTCCAGAACCAGAAACTGCCGCTTGCAATTCGACAAGGCCCTTTGTCTTCCTTGCTGCTCGGTGTGCAGAGAGGGGTGGTTTGTCTGAGGCTGGCTGGAACAGGTGCGCACGTGCGCAATGGCAAGCAAGGAGGCAACGGAAGCCTTAAGCCATCTATGTGTGGATCTGAAGGTGCGTTTTTCCCTTCAAGGCCGACGAACTTATTGAAAAGGGTCGCACAGCTGTGACAGAAGCTAAGACCCTGGCCAAGAAGGACAATGTTCGCTGTGCTATGCCGTGTTTCATCTTCAAGTTTCGTAAACAGATTTGAACAGCCAGAGAAAGCCAGAGCGACTCCGGCAGCAAGCTCTGGACCCGGCAGCGCGCAGCAGAAGCGCAAGAGGAAGCACATTCAGAACCAACAGCTAGCACCAGAGCCAGTGATATTAAATGCCTTGCGCAGACGTCCTCAAGAATGATTCGTTGACTTATTGCAAGGAGCTTCTCACCGCAGCCAAGACGCGCCTCGATGAAGAGCTTCGGGAGGCGCCTGCTGCCTTCGCCAAGGCGCGGGTAAGCGCAAGAGTCAGGTTTTTGAGGAACTTTCAGGCTACCCACTTGCTCCCTCATGAAACTCACAGGCACAGCAGCTTGTGATGGTGTGCGAAGAGAAGGCACCTGGCAGGGCAGGCAAAAATGCATGCTGTGGCGTGGTGCTTTGCAGTTGGACAGGTGCAGCCCTTCGTTGGCATACCACAGGGCAAGGATGAGCACCAAATGCAGTCCATAGCCAAGGACGCCTTGAAATCTCTTGACGCTAGTGGTACGGGCTCATCCCGCTGCAGGAGCTAGACAACATGGTCGGCTCAGCCAGCGAGGGCGTGGTCTCTGCGAGATCGACGCTCAGCTCGCAGACTGCAAACGTGGAGGTGGCTGATGAGATTAAGGAGGCGGCGGGCAGTGGTAGACATTCTTCAGTGGTAGTGGATGCAAGGCTAAGCGGATGAGCAAAGCACTTGAACTGAAGTTTGGTGGATCATGTGTAGAGGACATCGAGCAGTACATGCAGGATCAGACGAAGAGACTCCGGCATCCTGTCAGCCTTCAGCAGCTCTGAACCATAAACGGACAAAGCGACGGCCCAGGATTCGTTTGGGCCAACTGGACCGAAGGATCTTGAGGGTCCGCAACCTCGTTTGCAACTACCAGCTGCTTGGCTTTGGCATGCTTGGAGAGGCAGCTCTCAATTGCAATCAAGTAGGCCACATGTGAGGTCTAGGAGCTGTCCCTTTGCCAAGGAAGGACCTCCAGAAAGAGAAGAGTGGCAAGATCATCCGTGATTTGAAAGCCAAAGCTCTAGACAGCATCGAGGCGCATAAAGCTTGAAGGGCGAACTGCTGCATGCGCTCTTGAAGCATGCTAAACAGGACTCCAAGGTGCAGGAAAAAGCCGAGGAGGCGCACAGCCTTTTCTCAGCCTCCTAGGCAATCTCTCTATACGTTTTGCCTGCTAGGCCGAAGCGGCGATCAAGGAAGCCGAAAGGAAGTCAGAAAAGCTGAAAGCCATGGACACCTTGCCCTTGCCCGAGCTGCAGGCCCGAGCTGTCAGCACCTCTCTGCAAAATTCTGAAACAGTCTACGGGTCTGCGGAGGATGGGCTGCAACAAGTGGAGGCTGGCCTAGTCCTCCCACATCTGAATCTCGCGTAGCTGACTTTCCTTGCGTCATCTAAAAAAGCAAGCCAGGGAAAGGTGAAGGCCGCCAAGGAGACCTTGGACTCGGTCACGAACATGCTATGCCCATTGCAGGACTGGGGAATTGCAGTGTGCATCATTCCTCAAGATGCACAAGTGGCGGCAGCAACTTCAGATAAGGATGTCGATGATGACGTCAGGGTGACTCTCTGCAAGCACGTGCTCTCCAAGAAGAGCAGAGTCTTGGATGCAAGTGCTCCAGTGACTGTCGTCAGAAGAGCTGTATTTTTCTCGCAAGTGTCCAGGCCTGAAGAGCAAGCTGCTTTCTCTGGAGCAGCGGGTGAAGAAGGTGTTCAGCGTGGCTGAGAAAGGTCGCCTTGTGCCCCTCGCCAAGCACAGAGGTCTTTCCATCTTACCCATGGCCATCGCATGCCAAGATTTCCCTAGTGACCGCGCTTTTTTCTGGACCCTCTCTCTCTCTCTCTTCACTTCCGGCCGGGCTGGCGTTTACTATAATCTCGGGAAAGGACAGGAAAAAGTGAAGCTCCGTCCCGAATTTGCAAGTTTGCTGCGAAAACTTCTCGTTATCAAGGGGCCTCTGTCAATTCCCCTTGTCCTGCTTAGTTGCCAAGTCATCTCATCATATCAGCAGCTTTGAATTAGCAGAAGTGCGTGAAAGTTGGCTCGCCAAAAGTTCAGCTGAGTCAAGTTCATCGTGGTCATGCATCAGCAGTTGACAAGCTGACGAAGCGCCTTACCCGCGCCTCCGTCACAGCCTCCCTCCTACCAAGGATGAAGAAGAAACAGCTTACCAGGACAAGTGCAACGCACCTCAAGGCTTTGAAGGTGATGGACCTCTTCAGAGAGGACGCTGAGCTACAGATGAGTGTGGTTGCCAAACGCTGCTTCGAAACATCACTGGTCCCTTGCACAGGGTGCGGGTAGCATGACAGCCCGTTTATTGCGACAGGTTATTTGCTCACAATGAAAAGGGTTCAGGGTCACACTCACAAGTCCAGAACATGACACAATCTATGTCTGCATCAAGACATCAGAGCTTTGTAGTCTTCACCCTGGCTTGCAGGCGAGACAAGAACATTAAGCATGATTACCGGCATCATATGCAGACAAGATAAGACAAGACATGAACATTCAGACATGATGACCGGCCCCATGTCTTGAGCATGAGCTCATATGTGTTCAATAGCTTGGGAGCGCGCATGTTCAGACTTTAACGGGTCCGAGGTGCCGCCCTCTCGCCTTCAGAGGGACTTTTGGCCATTAAAATGTCTTAAATGCGTACTGACTTAAGGATCCTAAAGTTCGTGCTCCCAAGCAATTGGAGGTCTGGAGGTGTGGGGAAGCCGGGGATACGCATTTGGGAACTTTGGGTCCCTTGCAAGTCTCAAGGTGAAGCTCCCAATCAATTGGGAGTGCGTCAGCCAGGGAGTATATGTTTTTTGAGGTTCTTCAGGTGTTTAAAGTCCCAAAAGGCAAAACCCCTTCATCTCCAGAATCTCCAGATCCGCAATCGTTTGGGAGCACGGCACGAATTCTCAAAGTTTGAATAGGCCCGAAATGCCAAAACGCGAACTCCAGGGCTGCCCCCCCCAAATTGCTTTGGGTTGAGCACATGCTCCCGGGCTGGCCCCTCATCTCGAGAACCCCAACTTGGGAAAACGCGTAGTTTGAAACACTTACTCTCGGGCTACCTCCAGAGCCCCAACGGCTTGGAAGTACGTGCTGTTTTGGTAGCTTGCTTGCCGAGATGAGAATAAGCCTTGTTAAGGTGAGTCATCATGTTTCGTTGTCGTGGTTTGGAGGATCCTTTTGCTGAACCCCCCTGCATGAGTACCAGGACCAGAGTGGAAAGGGCCTGGAAGGGCTCCCGTCGCAGGACCGGGCATTTTGATTCTGCGTGATAGCTTTTTGGTGTGGCAAAACACAAAAGGACGTCTTCGCCATCATGGATGCTGACAAGGACTTCTCTCATTGCTGTTGCTGCCTTAAGCTCAGAAAGGAGGCCTCTGCCAGGATGGATTCATTGGCAGGGATGATTTCATCAACTTCTTCACTGAAGTCATGGACCTGGCTGACGACCCTGAGCTTGGAAATTGTCCAGACCTTTCCACAAGAACCCGCGGCCTAATGTGAGCTGGTCCAAGGAGACGAAGAGGAAAGCCTTCCCTTCCTTGGAGGCAGAGAGCATTAGTTGAGGCAATCAAAGTTTTGGATATTTCTGCCCCTGCATGATGAGTTCCGTGCTCGGCAGACCATCAGGATTTGGAGGAGCTTTTTCAGAGCAGCCTGCTGAAAGACGAGCCTGGCCTTTCCTTGAGTGTCTTCGAGCGCCTCCTGATCCGCTACGTGCAGGCTGACTTGCAGCTTTTTCTCTTTTGAAATTCCAGGTAAGTTGGCCAGCAATCTGAATCTTCAGGTTGTAAGACCCACAACTTTGACGCATGGCAGCGAGATCATCATGGGCGAGGAATGCTTCATAGAACCTTGCAACGTGCATCAAATTTCCTGCATGACTTGCTGCAGGCAGTGCGGGAGGTGAAGGTTGGTGAGATCCTCGAGGTACTCCAAGGCCTTTAGTAAGCAAGGTAAAGCTGAAGCTGAAGCACGAAAGCCAGCACTGGATGCTGCTACAATACCTATTTTGTTCTTCTCGAGCTTTTTTTTGCGCATGACCTGCGAGGTCCAATCCAATCTGGTCAGCTCAAAATTTCTCGGCTTCTCGTGCGCGCCACCTCGGATGGAGCCCTTGGCTGGGCAACGATGACCGGCAATGCCGTGATCTCAGGAAAGCGCAGCTGTCAGAGGTGATCTTCCTGAATTGCTGTGAATTTCGATACTGGGTGCATTACCTGGTTTCAAGCGCGATGCATGCAACTGGCGAGGCTGGCTCTGTCTTCTTGAAGGAGCTGATCCGCAGATAGTACGCCAACGCGAGCTCAAAAGACATAGGGATTGACTGCATGCTTTGATTGCAGTATGAGTTGTGAGCATATCCAGAAATCCGCGCGTTATCGTGCACATCTGGTCTGCCCATATTCCATGCTCAGGTAACACTCGCATCCTGGCTTCCATTCGCAGTGCGGCAGGTGGCAACACAAGCTACCGTTGGAACCCCAGCACAGGGGGAAGGTAATCGCAAGGCAATGAGATTACAGCAACAAGGGCGAGCGCCGACATTTGTTGCTGCGGATTATGCTGCTACCCATTCACGTTCACGCCTTCGCAAGTCAAAATCCAATAATTGTTTGATACCTTTGCCTCAGCTGCGGAGGGCAGATCCACAATTCATTTGCCAGCATCTGTGTTCAAGCCATTTGAAGGAGCATGAGAAGAGCCAAGGATTCTGCTCTCCGCTCATGGCTTGTCCTGCTTGAATTTTCTTATTCTCGCTTTGAACTGTTGTGTGGGTGTTCTGTTGGGGCTTTTCAGACTTCAATCGCAACAGAGCTACAGCGCATCCTGCGCGAGAGGAGGCTGAAGCTTGTGCTCACCTGTTGGCAATTCATGAAAAGCATACTTGCCAACATGAGCCAACCGAGAACTAGCTAACGATGCTGCTGAGATGGGTATAAAATGATATGAACCAGCTACACTTGTTTGGCAGGTAGTCGGAGTTGGTTTCTAGCGCGGACGCAGTTCAGCATTTCTAGATTGAGGGTCCCTACCCAGTTTGTTTGCTAGTAAGGGACCCCTTTGATTTCACTCACCCAGCATTTGACGCCGCTAAGCTCCGAGTGATTCCAGGAAAGTTTGATTTATGTGCCACTTTTTCGTTTGTCTGCGCCCTGCTGGGACGTTCTCAGATGGTGTTCCTTCTGGACGTGGACTTCATGGGTTCCTTGGAGATCTCTGCGCCAGTCGGAGAGAGCCTGAGCTTCGTGAGATTTCGTGCTGTTCTGGTCAAAGCAGCTTCTCTGCCGTCAGGATTTGAGTGGCTCTCTTCACTGGTGCAGAGGCAACCCGGCGCACCCTACAATGCTCCTGGCTCAGTGTTAGGATATTGTCGCCGCACGCTCCAGCTTCCGGTGATGTGCACTACACAGGAGACGTACACCTTCCTGGATTTGCCCGAGGCGAGCAGGGCATGTTTCTTCCAGAAAGCTTGAGCAGAAAGTGGCCTTTGATTTGCAGGTCAGTTCCAGCTCGCAGGGTGCGAAGCCAAGCCTTCCAGAAAACAGAGCTTTGCACAGCTGCCTGTTCGCTTGTGAAAGTCTCTGGCTGTGTGCGCGTAACCCAGGTGCAATGCTGCGCTTTTTGGAAACTTCATTCATAAAGGACGTCCACTATGGCTTTCAGGACTGCTGGATCAACACGTGAGCAGCGTTTTTTTTTATGTAAGGGATACGATGGAACTAGTTCTATAAGATTGC